TCAAATTTAGCTGTGTAGCTCATGTGCATTTTAGGACTGTGTGCCCGTGATCGAAAGGCTGATGGTTCAAATCTCATGCCTGGCAGAATGATGCCACCATTGGACAGTAGAGCAAGGCCCCTAACCCAAGTTGCTCTAGAGGTGGTACATGCTGGCTGACCCTGTGCTGTTAACCCCAAACTTGTGTGTGTGTGTCTCATGGAGAGCAGACCACAATTTGCCATGGGGATGAATAAGATATCTCTGTTCCAATATCTTCCTCACATATTTTCCATTGCATCAGACACGTGAAGCTCTGCACACTATCCTGGGTGATCTCCATGAGGATGACCACTTCACAATCATATTATTTGATGATAGGATAAAGTATTGGAAAGAGTCCCTGGTCAAGGCTACAGAGGAGAATGTGACTCAAGCAAAAGACTTTGCTTCGAAAATCGTAGCCAGAGGGAGTGAGTATGTCGAAGTATAGATGCAAAGCAGGTGGTTCTCAAATGCTGTCATATTGTTTTTTTGTCCAAAGTTCCAAAGTCTCTCTGTCTCTCACTGCCACATCCCCGCCTGTCTGGCATTATCTAACTCTCAAAATCAAATCACAAAGGATGTAATGTTTTGGTAAGACATGAACATTCCCAATAATCACCCCCTCCCAACAATTCCAATTAGGGACTGATATCAACAAGGCTGTGCTGAAGGCTGTAGACCTTCTCTACAAAGATGCTGCTGAAAACAAGCTGCCAGACAACAGTGTCTCCATGATAATCCTCCTGACGGATGGAAATCCCACTTCAGGTCTGTCTCAGTTATATTTCACCATCACACAGTTATCAGTTTATATATAGCAGGTTCAGGGCTATTTGTGAATGAATCAGGAAATCAGGAATTGTAATTCGAAAAAAAAGTCAGATGCAGAATTGAAATTGAACTGGAATTTCAGGAAGTTGAATTTAAATAAAATTCTATGCAATTTCATGTTTTATAGGTGTCCTTAGCATATCTCTCAGATTACAAGTAGTGAAATGTATTTCCATTCGTGAACATAATAACATGTCCAAGGTCCATTTCAGGTAGAAGAATAGTGTATGCAATGTAAATAAAAATGAGAAATGAGCATTATTACTGAGAACTAAGACACCTGTAGAAATCTATGCCTCAATGCAGATTTGAAAATAGTATTTATAACAGTAAAGATTACTTGAACAGAAATATTTTCCATATAAATACAATCAGAATTAACACAAATATATGTTTATGCCATGTGCATGTGTTTCATAGGGGTGACATCTCCAGTAGCAATTCAGAGTAATGTGCGGAATGCAATCCAAGGGAATATGACTCTCTTCTGCTTGGGATTTGGCTTTGATCTGAAATACAATTTCCTGGAAGTGATGGCCCAGCAGAATAATGGCTTAGCCAGGAGGATCTATGAAGATTCTGATGCTGTGCTCCAGCTTACGGTACTGTGTCAGCCAACCATTCCCCTGGCGGGCAAATGGAATAAGGGTGTAACTAAAATAGAATGAATAGCAAAGCAATACAACAATCATTGTCTTTTTCAAACTACTTGGAAGTGTGAATATGCGGTGTTAATACACGTTGGAGTGGATGCATGTCAACAGATAATCTATTCAGTTTCATTACCACAAGCATATCCGTATATCACCTATTCTCTGTTGACATTGCTTTGCAAAGACCTCTGTGTTGATCTTGCGTTTCATTTCTTGCTACTCTCTGCCAAAGGGCTTTTACAGTGAAGTGGCCAGCCCTTTGCTCTCCAAAGTGCACCTGAATTACCCCCACAATGCAGTTAATAGGCTAACCCAACACCATTTCAACCAATACTTCAACGGCTCAGAGATTGTGGTCGCTGGGCAGGTATCAGATGATGACCTACAAAACTTCATCTTTGAGGTGTCTGCACAAGGGGTGAGAGATGACTTCCATCATTTTGCGCCCAAGTAGGAAAGTTTTGTCCCAAACACAACAGTACAATTAAGAACTACCACATTATACTTTTTCCAGATGAATGACATAAAGTTCCAGGGTCAAGCAAGTGCTGAGGATTGGAATATCATCTTTCCAGAAAAGGAATACATCTTCGGAGACTTCAGTGAGCGTCTGTGGGCGTATCTTACTATTCAGCAGTTACTTGCCAAAAGGTTGGGCTGAATGTCATTGCCATGGCAGTATAATATGCTAATCTGATCAAATTCTAGTGTTGTTTACTAGGGTATGCCTTTTGAATTTGTGCTACTAGCCCTGTCTCTGGTGTCTTTGGTATCCAGTTAAGGAATATTAAACCACCAAATTTCCATGTGATGTATGCATACATGAGGAGGCAGAGTAATCATGGATGCTCTTGTCTGGGAATTGGCCTCCACAGGGAGAGGGGTAAAGTGGAGGAGAAGGCTAATGCGACGGCTGAAGCCCTGGCGCTGTCCCTGCATTACAACTTTGTGACTCCACTTACCTCCATGGTGGTGACCAAACCTCAGAAGGACGAAACACCNCTAGCAAAACACTAGTAGCTTGGTTTCTCATCCTCGTACATGTGTCAGTTAAAGCAGTGGTCCCCAACCACTGGGCCGCGGACCGGTACCGGTATTTCATTTTGAAAAACCTTGTATTTTGAAAGATGACCAGATTATTCTCTCGGATACGTCTCGCGCGCCATTACGAGAGCAACCGCCCCCCCGGTCCGCGAAATTTTTTTTGACCGTGGTGATAAAACGGTTGGGGAACACAGAGTTAAAGGTTACGCTAACTGATAGATTTGTAGTCACAGTTGTTGCCCTTACATGATTGAAAAGATGAGGTTAGAAATTTCTGTAATTTTTAATGTTAAAATGTTTACAACATTAACATTAAAATTGATTACAGAAACTTAGTGCACCCAATTGTTTGTATATGGCAGCTGTTTTAGAGTAATAAACGTTGGAAACGTATACCTCTCTTTCCTTATTAATTTAAAGTTATGGCAATGCTAACTAATTATTTCAAGTGGATTGAAGAAATTGTCTAAATTAATAGAGTAAATTAATTAATTAAAATCAAAAAGTTAAATGTTTTATTTTAAATGTTACTTATTTTAAGTTTAACTAAGTATGATTTGGTCAATATGCTGCTCTTTGTCACAATGGTTAAACTCAAATGTTTTGCTTTATATTGTAGACTCTACTTAATTTTTTAGCATACAGTAAAATAAATAATACTTTACCAAATCAAAATAACAAGAAGTTCACTAAACTTACAAAAAGTAGTTGGAAAATGTTGCCTTAATTTTTTTGAGTTGAATCTAAGTAACAGTTTTTACAGTGTACCTTTCAGATTACAAATAGTGAAATGTATTTCCATTTGTGAACATAATGTCCAAGGTACATTTCAGGTAGAAGAATAGTGTATGCAATGTTGAGTAAATAAAAATGAGAAATGAAGAGTGATAAATGAGCATTATTACTGAGAACTAAGACACCTGTAGAAATCTATGCCTCAATGCAGATTTGAAAATAGTACTTATAACAGTAAAGATTACTTGAACAGAAATATTTTACTAAAAATGTGGAGATAATGTATAGCGCCTTGCTTGCTTTTGTAATACATGATGCGTCAATTTTTATTATTTTTTAAACTTATTGTAACAAATCATCATTACTCAAATTTCAAATTTCACATCACTATGATTTCTGGTCTTTCACACCTAAATATCTTGCCAGTGACACTGAAAAAGCATTTTACAGTAAGGGAATCAGATGTGACTTTGAAATCCATCAACTGAAAAAGCTTTACTATCTTCGGTGAGGGTCTTAATGTTTTTATAAAGCCCTTCATATTACATGTTTAATATTTAGCAAATCAAGCTTACCTCTTAGAAGTGGAATTCCTTGGAATTCAGTTCTGTTTCCTATAATTCCAATTCAGATCCAATTCACTTTCTCTAGAGTGGGCAGTTCCAATTTCAGTTCGTACTCCAAGAATTTGAATTTACCATGCAGTCACAATTCAATTCATAAATGGCCCCAACTCTGACATATAGCAATCTACAGCCTATCTCAGCCGCAGATATACACACCTGTAATGAAATGCACCATCAAACCAGAATGTTGCCATGTTTGTCCATGTAAGAAAGAGAACAATCGTCTAGTTCTCTTACAGCATTTTGAGCACATTTGTAGCTGCTTCCATCTGCATACATTGATATGGCAAGGTCTGATGAAGACCTGCAATGTAAAACATTTAAAAGACATAAACTGAAGCCAGTATAATCTGAGTAAAGTTTCAAAGGATAATCCTTTTTTTTTGGATGAGGAACTGAACTACGATGGGATTTGTTTTCCCTAATTCACCAATTTCTGCATGCAGAACTAAAGCAGATCAAGAGCAAAACACAATGATTTTCCATATAAATACAATCAGAATTAACATAAATATATGTTTATGCCATGTGCATGTGTTTCATAGGGGTGACATCTTCTGAAGAAATTCAGAGTAATGTGCGGAATGCAATCCATGGGAATATTACTCTCTTCTGCTTGGGATTTGGCTTTAATCTGAAATACAATTTCCTGGAAGTGATGGCCCAGGAAAATCATGGCTTAGCCAGGAGGATCTATGAAGATTCTGATGCTGCGCTCCAGCTTACGGTACTGTGTCAGCCAACCATTCCCCTGGCGGGCAAATGGAATAAGGGTGTAACTAAAATAGAATGAATAGCAAAGCAATACAACAATCATTGTCTTTTTCAAACTACTTGGAAGTGTGAATATGCGGTGTTAATACACGTTGGAGTGGATGCATGTCAACAGATAATCTATTCAGTTTCATTACCACAAGCATATCCGTATATCACCTATTCTCTGTTGACATTGCTTTGCAAAGACCTCTGTGTTGATCTTGCGTTTCATTTCTTGCTACTCTCTGCCAAAGGGCTTTTACAGTGAAGTGGCCAGCCCTTTGCTCTCCAAAGTGCACCTGAATTACCCCCACAATGCAGTTAATAGGCTAACCCAACACCATTTCAACCAATACTTCAACGGCTCAGAGATTGTGGTCGCTGGGCAGGTATCAGATGATGACCTACAAAACTTCATCTTTGAGGTGTCTGCACAAGGGGTGAGAGATGACTTCCATCATTTTGCGCCCAAGTAGGAAAGTTTTGTCCCAAACACAACAGTACAATTAAGAACTACCACATTATACTTTTTCCAGATGAATGACATAAAGTTCCAGGGTCAAGCAAGTGCTGAGGATTGGAATATCATCTTTCCAGAAAAGGAATACATCTTCGGAGACTTCAGTGAGCGTCTGTGGGCGTATCTTACTATTCAGCAGTTACTTGCCAAAAGGTTGGGCTGAATGTCATTGCCATGGCAGTATAATATGCTAATCTGATCAAATTCTAGTGTTGTTTACTAGGGTATGCCTTTTGAATTTGTGCTACTAGCCCTGTCTCTGGTGTCTTTGGTATCCAGTTAAGGAATATTAAACCACCAAATTTCCATGTGATGTATGCATACATGAGGAGGCAGAGTAATCATGGATGCTCTTGTCTGGGAATTGGCCTCCACAGGGAGAGTGGTAAAGTGGAGGAGAAGGCTAATGCGACGGCTGAAGCCCTGGCGCTGTCCCTGCATTACAACTTTGTGACTCCACTTACCTCCATGGTGGTGACCAAACCTCAGAAGGACGAAACACCAGAGGACGCCATGATTGCAGACAAGCTGACTGAGGGTGCAAGTCCTGCTTTTCAGTTTGGGGGGTGTTCTGGGGTCGTGGCTAGATGGCCTTTCTTTATAAGAATCCACAAGCTACAAAATTATTTCCTAATTAATTTAATTTAATTGACAAAGCCGGGTGAAAAATCAAGGAAATTTGTTAAAATATAGTAAACATATGGCAGTAATATATTACAATCACACAGAAATAGATTGAGGGAAACCAGCCAATATGATATGACCCTCTGATAAACTTTAAATCAAAGCCATAAATAATATCCCAGCTCTTACCTGAATCATGTACTGTAATGTTGTGACCACTGCTCACTTTTGTCATTTTGCAGATGAACGTCATAGGCCAAATTATGCTGGTAAGTTATAGTTACATCTAAGCATGAATTTGAACATGTGTATCCAGAGCATAATCTCTGTGTTAGAATACAGGTTGGTTAATGAGATCAAACTAGTTTGATCCCAGGGGGACATATAGGAAATTTACTTAATATTTTGAACATAATACAGCTGAAATATTAGCAAAGTATTATGCATTTTGCACGTAAGTTAACCATCTATGGATTTAGCATCACTCTGAAAAAACCACATCAAACTTTTTATTTTGTAAGCTTGTAGCTGCTGTCAGAGATAAACCTTTTTCTAAACACAGGTATTCCCAAACCTCAGCCTGCAGCTAGCTATCGTGCAGTCACAAGCGGTATGTCAACAGCTTCTATGTGGTTTTCAAATGCAGTCACTTAGCATTAATGAAAAACATGAAAAATAAATACATCTAAAATTGCTTTTTTCCCCAGTGGATGGAGATCCCCATTTTATCATCCAAGTTGCAGACCTGAATGACACTTTGTGTTTTAACATTGATGATGTCCCAGGCACAATTTTTAGCCTGGTGAAAGACCCTTTATCAGGTGCGATTTTAGTCTGGAAATACTGGAAAAAGACCTAGTGACTATGGTAAAAGCTGCAATAAGCCACAGTAAATCTGTTACAGAGGACAAAAGATTGATAAAACTCCACAACTTTTAAGAGGAGGATATTCTATGCCTTAATGCTGTTAAATAAGTAAATATTTGAAAGTATCATGTGATAATCAACTGTGGGTTCACACTCACGTGATTTCTGCAGGAATTGTGGTCAATGGCCAGACCATAGGAGATAAGAAAGTGGACCCTGGAAGCAAAGTCCACACCTACTTTGGACGGTTTGGGATAGCTCACCAAAAGCTAAACCTCAAAGTGGAGGTAACCACCCAAAGCATCATTGTCTCCCAGGACAGGCGGAAGACTTTACTCTCCTGGTCTGACAACAGGACTTTCAGGGGCCCTGGGTGAGCTGGAAAAACACTGAAAAAGATACTGAGCATGTTACACAAAGACAGACAGGTTGAAGTTCAGGCTGATGATCATCCTGCATTGTTGCAAATTTTCTAGCCCCCAGCTTGTGATTCCTCTTGTTTTTTAATCATGTTTTGAAAATTTTGCTCTCTTTTGACTCTTTACTGTTTTCAAGAAACAATTTTGATAGAGAGAAACCACAAAATAATACTAAAATACTATGAACATCCCCCTGCCATCCTAAACATCAGAAATTTGCATGCAGGTGTTGCTACTTTGCACAAATACCTGCAGCACATAGAAGCGACCACTCGCAGCCTAGAAGTAGTTTTATCTGTAAGGAGGATTTTAGCCCCAACAATCAATTTTGACATGACAGATCCATACAGTCGACAACCCACCTTAATAATCAATTATTCACAATGTATTGATGCATTTATATACCGCTGTTATTCAGTTTTGAGATTCTGTCAAGTGCATTCATTCAGGAATCCGACCCTGCTTTCTCTGACCATAATGCGCTGTCATCTCTCTTTCTTATGCAGCGTGGAAATTGAGATCACAAAGGAACGCAGTCTTACTGTCACTATGAGGGACTCGGCCAAGTTTGTTATCATCTTGCACAGGGTGTGGAAGAAGCACCCATACCACCGGGACTATCTGGGCTTTTATACTCTAGACAGCCACCTTCTCTCTAGCAAAGTTCATGGCCTCCTTGGTAAGATCTGATTGGCCTTGTCCCCTGAGATTGTAACAACAACATTTGAGAAACCCCTGTGGGTTCAGAATCTTGAATTTGGTGATCAGTGATCATTGTTGACACACCTAAGCACACAGTGCACAACAAAGAAATGTGTCCTCTGCATTTAACTCATATGTGACATCCTGACATAGCAGGGGGCAGCAGTGCTTGGGGGCGGTACCTTGCTGGTCGGTAATTCGAACCAGCAAACTTTCCGTATGAAGACTGCTTCATATTTATAGTGACCTGATACACTAAAGGTATATCCTTATGTTTATTCTCTCATGTCTACCTGTAAAGGTGCCCCTGCTTAGGTCTATACTACAGGACTACAAAGTGTGAACAGCAGACATTGGTCACGTGTAAAACAGTAGCTATGCACAATGGACTTTTCTGCTGACTTCTCTAATAAACTGAACCTCAGTATTATTTTTTCCACACTATTTGGTCTCCATTGCCCTCTACAGGACAATTCTACCACGGCCTGCAGTTTAAGGTTGGTGAGCTGCATGAAGGAAAGGATGCAGACAAACTAGATGCCACCATGACGGTGAAGGGTCAGCAGCTCACCGTCACCTGGTAAATATCTGCACAGATCTCTCTCTTTTCCTGGCCTTCTGGTTTTAGCACCTTTCTCTTTCCGTGTGCATCAGAATCTGTCCTCTGATCACAAGCACACTACACATAATACAACACAGAGAAGCATGGAAACATGATAGCATGAAATGTTGCTGACCTTAGGATGTTTCTCGGGCCTACAGGGGCTGGCAAAGAGACTTCCGCAGGGATGTCAAGTATGGTGAAGGTGTATCCTGCTGGTTCGTGCACAGCAATGGCACAGGCCTCATCGACGGGACTCACCATGACTATGTGGTGTCCGAGATATTCAAGACCAGCTGAGTGACAAAACCATCAGCCAAATTGTTGAAATGCTTCAAAGACAATAACAAAATACGACAAAATGGAGACTATTAATTTAATTTTGTTAATAACCAGCATATTGATGTGTATGACAAAAATCTGTTAGCTATAAACCAATAATATCTTAAACACCTTGCTGTCATTTTATATTCCTTGCCTTATTTCGTTTTACCTGGGAAACATTTACCCATTCAAATAAGTGGTTCCCATGCCTTACAATCTGCCTCCATATCGCTGTTATTCTTTCCTCCAGTTCTTGTAGAAACATCATGTTCCAGTTTGTATGGTGCAATTTTGAATGACATACTGACCTCCCCCAAGCCCAACATTCAAAGAGGACACACTGATCCCTAGGAGCTTAAATGTATAGTGGTCACAAATCACTTGTCAGTCAACAGCATCTATCAAATGCTTGGAAAAGAGTTTGTACAGGACTACAGGTCCCACCCAGACTGTGAATAGGCATTTAGCTGGAACTACTTTACATTTTGCACTTTCATTCAGAAATGTCCATTTAGTGTATTTCTCCTAGGGGTCTGCATGCGGCTGAGATCCCAGTGTTTGAGGTGACCCACTTTAAAGGTGAACAGATGAAGAATGCCAACTTCATAAAACATCTCCACAAATTAAAATCTGCCAAAAGAAAGAAATCCCACAGTTCAAGCACGCGTTTACGTTTTCAAGTGATTCAAGCAGGAAGTGTTACATCAGCTTCTTTGGTCATTTCCTGCAGCATTGTCTTGTCTATTATTTCTGGCCCTTCTCCCCCCTCCTATTTTCACTTTGCTCGTGTACAGGGCGAGTGGCAGGATAGGAAAACAGAGAGGGAATGAGGCAGGTTTTCTGTGGTGGTAATAAAATTAGGCTGCCGTCAGCATGAACATTTTATAAACAAACATTTTCTGCCAATAATACCCTCAGTTTGGGTGGGAGGATGCTTTTGACAAATAAGACGGAACTTGGTGCGTTTGCATTGCCAGCCTACTCTTACGTATTCTTTTGATAAACTTGCCATCCATCCATCTTCCAGTTGCCTACTCAGATGTTTGGGTAGGACCGTGCGACCTATTCCAGGCTTCACAGGGAAGTAGGGGTACAAACTTGATAGGGTGTATATTCATCCCAGGGGTCAGGTGACCAATGACTTTAAATTGTAAAGCAGCATTAAGTTGTTTTGAGAGAGTTCATCACCCAAACCAATATTATGCAACTGTCTGGGTGAGGAATGTGAGGAGCTAAACTTAAGAACCTAAAAATAAAAAAAATAAAAAACAAAAGAAAAAAAAAATCACTGATAAAAATATTTTTTCAACTATTTATTATTCTTTTAAAAATTATGATTAAAACACCACATACAATTAGAGGTGGGCGATACATTGATTTTATCGATTAATTTGAATTTACAGTTCAGGACGATGTGTTTTTATGAAAATCAATTTTATTACTTATTTTACACGTGAGCGCCAAAAGCGGAACTAATGCGACGCACCATTCTCCACGGGTAAATTAGCACGGCGCACCCAAACACTGTAGCAGATTCACAAAAATCTTTCCTCCACCCCTGAATACAGCTCCTATGACCAGGGCAGCACAGTGGTTGTGCCCTTGTCTCTGAGTATATACAAAATTTGTGTGTTCTCACAGTGTTTGTCTTGTGATGTTCCTTGTGTAATAAACAAACATTACTGTAAGTGAACAGTGTGTGATTATATGCGGGATGAGTCAATGTCAGTGAGCCCTGTGATACTGGTATCCCACTCAGGGTGTCTCCACTGTACACTGCACTGGATAACTGATTATGGGAGATGGATTGGTGATAGTGATATCAAATATTATTATTTAATAATATTAGATTTATTATATTATTTGCTAGGAAAGTGTTCCTTTTGATGTTTATTAGCATTAATAATAATTAATAATAATTTCAGTCATTTTTTAATACTGCACCATTCACTTTTCATCTTTATTGTATTGCAAATATTTAATTACATCAAATAATTAAATGTCCAGTTGCAAGCTGATATAGATTAAAGTTAATACATCTATCAAACACAAATTCATTCACATTCTTTTGTAAATTAAACAAGAACAATCAAGAGAAATGATTTTTTTAAGCAGGATTCCTCTTGTTTATTGAACGTTGGTGTTATATACAACAAAACCCTTCTGAAGTAAAATGATGAACTTGTTGTGGCTAACTTGCAGACTTAGGTTTTGTTTTAGGGAAGCACAAAATGAAGACACACATGAATAAAAATTCATTAAAACAACAACAAAAAACCCACCCAAATTCTTTCTTCTTCATTAAATGTGAAAATGAAATCAAGCTAAAATATTTTTTTCACATTCTTGTGATTAATGAAATTATTGTTCTCTGCCTTGGTAGAAGATTTATTCTATAAAAAAAAATCATTCATTATTGCCATGTTTTGTAAATAAGTTTAATTTCCATTTTTTTTGTTTTTGCCCTTCTGGCGTTTCCTTATATTTACTTGCCTCAGGTGGTAAAAGTTCTTCTTCATTGCTGACCTTTGATATAATCAATGCCTGCTCCTTCATAGCTTCAAGTGACTGAATTCGCTGCAGGAATCCAGGTTTAGCTTCTGCCTTTTCACTCTCAATCAGCAAATCAATGTATTCTGGTGTGGAAAGTGGGTTGGGCTTTAAAGCGATGTCATTCAGTCGAGCTAAACATCTTTGCGATGTTTCAATTAGATCCAGTACTTCATCTTGAAGACGCTGAATTTCCTCCTCTTGTTTTTTAATTATTTCCTGAGCTGTCAGTTTGGCACCAGATGCTTTCTCATAATTTGCTTTAAGCTCTTCAGATGTTCTCTTCTGTTTCATCTTTTTATACTGCCACTTGTATTTCTGGTTATAATGCACATTCCAGTGACATTTGCCAGGGCACACTCTGCAGTTGCCTTTGGAGTTCATGGCGGCACAACGTGTCTTATCTTTATCATCCGAAATAGTACAAGGGTAGTGGCAGGTGAAATGACACTGGTGACAGTTGGTTATATACTGTCCAGATCCTTCTATACTAATCTGATCTGGCATCATCACCTCTACTTCAAATTCAAAGTTTTTGTTTGTATTTATTTCTGCTTCATGCTCCTGAATTATTTGTTGGGTCTTTTTGATTTCATCCAGTTTGGCCAAACCAGCTCGGATCTGTGGTTGCAGACCTGTGACTGCAGTTTCCAGCTGTTTTCGCTCTTTGAGGACTTCCCTAGTTAGCCTCAAGCTCTTGGTTTTCAAATATATTAATGAATCAAAAAAGTTCTTCATGCTCTTCACACCCATACTCCAGAACATCTTGTCAAAATTTCCATTACCACTATCTTCATTTTCAGTGCTGTTTTTCATATTGACAGAAGTAGAATTGTCTGCAAACAGTGCTGAATTGTTGAATTTGAAGTGAACAGGAATCCCTTTTTCTGTTCTCGGACATGGTACATTAGACTCTTTGATGGCCTCTAGAACTGGGGGCTTCTGTCCATCTGCAAATGTCACAAGCATCTGGATATTGTCTGCTATGTCTTTACCAAAAATGGAAAGGATGGAGTCAAACACATATTTCTGTGCATGTGTTAGTCGTGCCAGTGAGGCCTGAGTTACGAAGCAGACTGCATCTATAACGCTGATTCCGCTGTCAGAGGTGAAAAATGTCCGGATCTGTTCAGTGATTGCTCTGTCTCTCTCTATTCCTCTTGTGTCACCAAAACCTGGGGTGTCGATGATAGTGATGGAGTAGCTTATTGTATATCCCTCTTGATAATTAATTTCATAGGCAGTGATAAGGGATGTTTGACTCTCCGCTTGTGATTTTGAAGTCCCCTCATCAACTAATTTGAATCGGAAATCGTCTTCCCACTTAACACCCAAAATATAGTTGATCATTCCATTTATTATGGTTGATTTTCCTGCTCCTGTTGCCCCAATGACCATAATGGTTCGATGTTCCCTAATGTTCTCTTTGCCGAAAGCATATCTTTTGCATCCTTTTAAATTTGTGCATATGTCCTGAAGGGGAACCTTGTACACAGAGGGGACCCCTTGGCTGAGACATTCACTCTTTTGTTTTATCTTCTCAGCTAGTGTTGTGGTTCCTGACAATGTTGAAATAGAGACTGTCAGACTTTCTTTGCTTTGACCAGATTCACCGCAATTGCATGTAATTCTAACATCATATGTTGTATCTGGCTGTAGCTCAGTAATATTACAGACTTTGTCTTTACTAGTCTTCTTCATCCAGTCTGCCTCATTTTCATTTTTTCCACATGATGCAGTTCTGTATTCAACTACATAGTTTTCAATGCCGATCCCATGTCCAACCATATCAGGTTTTTTCCAAGTAACTGTAATCTCCTCTGAGTCTACATCTGTTTGTTCTGGCCTACCAGGAGGACTTGTGGGAAGAGTTTTAATGCTGTCAGTTTCACTGGTTAAACTGACACCTGCTGGACACACTGCCTTGTATCTGAACTTGTAGTCTGTGTGGACAAGCAGTCCAGACACAGTACATTCTAGGTTAGATTTGGGTACTTCAACAAATTGCCAGCTATCTGATTCATGATCACAGAACTCAATCAGGTAGTGTGTGATATCGCTGGATCCATACTGGGGATGATTCAACTTAATTGTCACACTATCATGAGTGATGTCAGTTGCTGTTGGTTTTACAGGTCTCGAAGGGGGTTCAAAGTGATCATTTGTTTGGACTCCTGCTGTGTAAAGGTAAATACTTGCCCCTTTGTGTTTATCGTTAGGGATGGATGCTGCTATAAAGTGTGTTTTCTTACTCTCCTTGTTTGCCTTTGCAAAATCCGTGAAGAGGATTGCTTGTTGTTTCATTTTTTCTGACACTGTTGTTTCTGTTAGCATTGAAGTTGAAAGAGGCTTTAAGTGGCTGGACAAGCAGGACAGGTATGGTTCCTCCTCTTCACCCAGTGATGTGAATGCAAAACACACTGTATTCTTACCTCTATTTTTGAAGATTTCACTTTCAAGCTCACTCTTTGATGCCACAATTTTTGTGTTTTCCATCAT